TGAAGTGTTTTCTTTTTTCTTTTGTTCTTCAGGAATCTCTCAGAAATCCTTAAAGAGAATCTGGTTTTTATGTTTTAGACTATTAATTAAATAGTAATTTATTTTGGCTAAACGATTTTGATGGCTAATGATTGACAGGCCTTTTTATAAAAGTGAATGTAGCAAACTAATTATTGACTTTGTAAGTCAATGTCTTGAACACACATGAAGCGCATAACACTTATCTGCTTTACCAGTGTCTCTATTTCTAAATGGAATCCCTAGAAAGTTTTAAAAAATTAAATTATTAAACTTCTTCACTATGTTGAAGTTATAAATTAATTTGAAAATTAAGATGAATGTTTAGATTTTTGGAGTCAGTCACTAATTCTTCAAAAATTCCAGTCCAATATAATAGTCCATGCCATCACACATCCATTTTTAATCCTAGTAACTTACTGCATCTGAAAAAAAGGTAGCGTCTTTCTAGATTTGATAATATCAACTTCTGCATATATAAAAAAATCTAATTGATTAACAATATTTACTTCTTTCCATAATTATTTTATTTCCTCTCATATTTAGCAAAGAGAATAACTGGTACCATCTGCATTTACTAGGAATTAAGATTTGGCGTCCTTAACTAACTTGGACCCAAAAGCAAGAGTCCATGCACTGAAAAGTGTAAGCAATTAAAGAACTACCAAGGAAAGTGTTTTTCTATCACCAGAGAGAGGGCATTTACTCTCAGACCTTGAAAGTTATCATCATTTATGGTCACCAGGGGAAGCAGAGTTTTTCACACCCCAGGCACAAAATTGAAAGTGTCTAACTGTTTCATTCTCTTCTCACATACTGAGCTCTGGGTTATTTTGTTAAAGGAAGCATTAAACAACCTACCAGCACATATACATTGGATTAGGGACTTCTATCGTATGGAGGGGCTCTGGCCAGTTCAGAAAGACATTATTGGAAACTTAGAGGTGAGAGCATAAATGTAACTGAACACTTTTTGGCTCAAGGAATCAACTATCGTTCTTTTCTTTAGTGTTTTATATTACAAACCTGTTGTTTTTAATTTTCCGAGCACTAACAACCCACTGTGCTTAAACAGCTCTTAATCAGAACACAATAATTAGATAGTTAGAGCCTGTGTGATACTTAGATATTCAGAGGAGCTGCATTGCCCAGAAACAGGTTCGGAAGGCTGAATTTCCTATCTTTCTTTTTCTGATTCATCATATGAGCTCTCTGTAAGTTTTTTCATCTAGATACCTCTTTTTTTTTTTTTTTTTTTTTTTTCTTTTTGAGATGGAGTCTCCCTCTGTCGCCCAGGCTGGAGTGCAGTGGCGTGATCTTGGCTCACTGCAAGTTCCACCTCCTGGGTTCACGCCATTCTCCTGCCTCAGCCTCCCGAATAGCTGGGACTACAGGCACCTGCCACCAATCCCGGCTATTTTTTTGCATTTTTAGTAGAGAGGGGAGGTTTCACTGTGTTAGCCAGGATAGTCTTGATCTCCTGACCTTGTGATCTGCCTGCCTCGGCCTCCCAAAGTGCTGGGATTACAGGCGTGAGCCACTGGGCCTGGCCTATCATCTAGATACATTTTATAGTTTGTATCAGTCATCTGGTATATAGCAATATAAGTGTATGTCTCACATATTCTAGCACACACACATACACACATAGTTACTGTGACACTGTAACAGTATAAGAAAAGAATAAAAAAAGCAATGAGGGGCTGACATAAAATCTTCAACTACAGCATATTTAACAAGGAGGGAAAACCTGCTTAGCTGGCTGCCTTTTTAATTTCAAGGTAACTTTATTGGTCCAAATACTGAATGGTTCTCCGAATTTGATTATAACAAATGTCCAGATGCCTTACATCACAAGATAGATGTCAAGTTTTTTAGTGAGATAATCCTTTAGTAAAGGCCTATGTTTCAGACAAGGTTTTAGGAGAAAAAGTCTTTAACAATATAGTCAATTATCATCATCTCTCTGAAATTTCAAAACTCTGTCCTCCCTTACATAACAACCTCTCTGCCTTATTAACAAGCTTCTAGAGAAATAACCTAAAACCACTCTGTTGCTTCTTCCCGTTCATTTATTCCTCCTCACAATATTACAATTTGGTTTTTGTTGACATTTTTCTCCAGAAACTGGTGGTTGACCTTTTGTAACATTGGTGTTCAACAGATGCTTCTTTTGGAAACTGTTTCTATCTTTGGTTCTTGTGACATTTTTTTCCTTTGTCTACTGCCAGCCTCTCTATTCCTTAACTAATTTGGCGTGTACCTCTTTCTTAGCCTAGTTCTTGATTACTGATTCCCAATTCTCAGCCTTCTTTTATCTTAATCTTCAAAATCAATTCAATCAGTTATTGTGGCTTCCACTATCTCCTGTGCAGACTCCCACAGCCATATGTTAATGATCTTTTGTGAACCGAAGGTCCATATTTCAAATGACTCGTGCATCACAACATTCCACTAATAGGAATGATATTCAGCAGGAACACACAATGGACTGATGGATTCGTGGTAATGGCAAGCCAGTTGTTAAATATTTGAAAATCATTTCTGCCCCAAAGCGACTGTATTAGTCTGTTCTCACATTGCTAATAAAGACGTACCCAAGACTGGGTAATTTATAAAGGAAAGAGGTTTAATTGACTCACAGTTCCACACGGCTAGTGAGGCCTCACAATCACAGTGGAAGGCAAATGTGGAGAAAAGTCATGTCTTACATGACATCAGGCAAGAGCTTGTGCAGGGGAACCCCCACTTATAAAACCATCAGATCTCCTGAGACTTATTCACTACCAGGAGAACAGGATGCGGGAAACCACCCTCATGATTCAATTATCTCCACCTGGCCCCACCCTTGACACATGGAGATTATTACAACTCAAGGTGAGATTTAGGTAAGGACACAGCCAAAGCATATCACCAACTCAAATGCAATGATGAACCTGCCATTTTCCCTATAAATAATCCCAGATTCATTCCCCATTTTGAGAATGGGACTATAAATTCTATGGTTACATAAGCCAACCTGTTCATTAAAATTCCAAACTTTCTATATTTTTTTAACCAATAATTATTTTTAAGTTCAATAGCATTCATAGTTATTCTCCCGCCCTTATTGCAAAAATAACTTTTTTGTTTAATTATTTTGAATAAACCTGACTTTGCCATTTCTTACAATGTAGTCCTAACCCCTCCAGTTGTACATTTCAGTTGCTATCAGAGTGAATATAGCATGATGACAATTCCTACCCAAACTTCTTAAGTGGCTCCCTCATTTAAGAAGTATGTAATGTATAGTATGGCATCAATATGTAAATATATACTACTCTGCCTTTTACATAGGATTCATTATTCTCTGGCTCCCACTCACCTATCCAAAACCAAGTCTTCTTTCTGCTTACTTCATATCAAACTCCATGTCTACATAATGATAAATTATGTCTACTCCACTTACCCCTCCCTCAGGCCCTTCCATTACCTAAGCCCGTGTATATGTAATATTGCCTCTGTCTGCAATGACAGCCTACATATTATTAACCAGGCAGACACTTGATCTTTCTTCAAATCTCTAATTACAGACTCCCCTACTTCTTCAGGGAGGTTAGAAGACATCTTTTTCTATCTTTCTATTTGCTTCTGCATGTGTTTATATTTATAACAAAGTAAATGCTCAGCTATATTTATATTCAGGTGTAGCTAATTGAGTCTTGAGAAATTATATTCAATTAATGTATGCTCAATTAAATTTGGTTCCATATTAAAATTTATCTTTTATTTGGAAAAAATATAGCTATGAAAGAAGAGGACAAATGTAAATTATTAAAGGTTGTATTTATGTTTCTTTCATTCTTTAACTGAGATCTCTATTTAAAAGCTGTTCATTGAGCTCCAACTATGTGACAGGAACTGTCCTTGCCTTGGTGTATAAAAAAGTAAACAAAACATATTTTTTACTGTTATGGAGCTTATAGAATGGTTTTATTTATGAAAATATCAATGAAGCACATTAATGTTATAGAAAAAGTCACATATATCTGTTTAATGATCAATAAATATACTGCTAATGGAGTAAATCTGAATCTATATCTCTGCATGTTTACAGATAGAGAATTATCTTATTTTATTAAAAGCATATGTATCACATCAAATATGCTCGTGAATTTTGTTTTATGTATATTTTTGTTTTATTTTATCTTGTATATTATGGAGTCATGATATTTATAGTAGGTAGATGTATGTGTATCAATTTGCATTATTTGTGGGACTTTGAAACAATAGCATTTCATATTTCCAATAATATAAAAATAGTATGTTCAAACAGGTAAAACGCAATGGTAAATATAATAAGGGAAAAGATTAATAAATGTAATAAGCTACTGGTATACTTAACAAACAACCTTAAATTTTTAAAGCAATTTGCTGCAATGACATAAAATGGAACCAAATAATAGCATTTAAGTCAGCTTTCAAGCTATTTTCCTAAAATATAGCTTAATAACGAAGACAATAAGCTAATTATCTAAATGGAAATTTAGAGAGTGGGCTGGCATGTGCGCAAAACTCTGTAATAAACATTCTCACATTTTAGCAATCTCATATAAAACAGAGACTGGGGATGGTCTTCCAATTCCATTTCTCATACTATATTTTTGGTGTGTTATTTTCCATTGAAATATCCAGTGAAAATCACTGTCTTAGTGGTGTATGAATCACACATGCTAAATCATATTCAGAAATGTGATACACATACTATAGCCATAAGATGGAAAAACAAACTGACATTGGAGCAATTTTTAAATGAGAACAGTAAGCTTCTATTATACTTTGGTATGATAGATAAAAATGTATGTTAGATATTAGTAGAATCACTCAAAAACTTTTGAAACCATGCAGATGACCCCACTAGCCAGAAAATATTTCCAAAGTTTTTCTTTTTCATTTTTCAATATGATGACATAATTAATATTTTAAAACATCTATAGAAATACCTGGATTTTCCCATGAAGGTCTGGAAATACACCAATAAAGACAGATCCTGATTTTGGCAGGGGTTTTCCAAGTACATGATTGATAGAGTCACATGTTTGTGCATTCCTCCCTATAATAGTCAGTTCAGCTCTACATGGATCCAATTCTTGCCTGTAACCATTTAAGAAAGAAATGTATGGTTTTATCATGAGTCATATAAACATTTGTGTGATGAATTAATTAATCTATTATCAAAAGAATAATTTAAGTAAACAGATTATTTCACAATAAAACAAAGCCAGAAGTAGATTAATCTGTTATACATTATAAACCCTTAATGCTTTAAGTACATAAATACAAAGTTACAGTTTGACAAAACAACAAATTATAGCAATCAACTAATGAAATAAATAAATCCTGATAAACAGATCTTTCTCAATTGTAACTGAAACAATTATGGATTATAATATTCCATTTTAGCTTTTTACATTGTTAAATGTTCTGTATGAGTGAAAAATACTAAAAAGAATCAAATTTCAATGTTGTCATACAATGTATAATATATATTTAGGTAGAAAATAGAGATATTGCAGACAGTAATTAGTTGTAGAAATATAAATTATATCAACAAGCAAAGCACGGAAAAATTAACAAATGAATAAATCAAATATAACCTAATCAGGAAGATCAGAGTAATACTTTCCATATGCCCATTCTTTTAGAAAGATGAAAAAGACAAAATACTTTGTCAATACTTTAACATGTAGATATGCATGTGTCATTTACACTAGCCCCATGTTTAACTAACTGTTTATTCCAGAGGTTGACAAACTATACCCTTAGGCAAATCTTGCCTGCCATCTCTAAGTAAATAAAGTTTAATTGGCACACAGCCCCATGTTTCTTTACATAGAGTCTATGGGTTTTTTAATAACAGAATTGAATAATTGAGACGAGACTTTATGTCCCAAAAGGCCAAAAATATTTACGATCTAATCCTTATAGAAAAAGTTGGTAGATCCACTACCTATTCACCAAGCAAGCTTTATCAAAATCTTTTTCAAAATAATAGTACACATATAATAAAAGACACCTACATAGCATCCAACTATCAATGTCATTCTATTCCATGAATATGTGATATTCTGGTTTTCATATATTTATACTGAATTATGGTATACATAATAAAGAGGGTAAAGGATAAAGCTGTATAAAATATGATATTGTAAACATATTCAAGTAACCACTACCTAGGACAAAAGGCACAAAATTACAACCTAGACCACCCCAACCCAACATACACACATATGCACACATATGCACAGACACACACACACATTCACTCTCTCACAACTCCTCTATCTTAATTCAGCATCATGTTTTTGAGATATATATTTTTGAATTGAATAGTTTATTTATTTTCAAGATATATAATCAGACACTTTACAAATTATTCTAATGTTGGTATACTGTGAAATTTTAAATTTTTGAGCTATGAATAATGCTGCTATAGACATGCTTGTATGTATTGTTTCATGTGCAGAAATGTGCATTTCTGTTGAGCATTTAACAAAAAAGTACTTAGAGTTCTATGTTCAGTATATGTGCTCTACTCGTTATATATTTTGCAAGGATTTTCTTTTTACTTTTGGTGTGTTACAATTTTACTTTTTTAATGGTGCTTTTTAATAATCAGTAGTTTTTCATCTTAATTTATATCAATAGATCAATCTTTTCCTTAATAATTAGTATTTTGTTGTTGTTCCTGACTTACTCCATTTTTGAAAATATGTTTTACTATTGACATTTAGATCTACAATCCACCTGAGATTGGTTTTTATATAGTCCCAAGTATGTATCGTTTTTTTTTTTTCTTTATGGAAATCCAATTGACTCTATAACATGAGTAGAAGAAAACTATGCATTCTCCACTGTTCTACAGTATTACTTCTGTCATAAATCATGCCCACATATATGTAGGTGTGTTTCTAGACTCTCTTTTCTGTTCCCCTGGCCAATTTTTCTGTCTTTATACCAATACATCAATGTCTTAAGACTTACTCTAAAAGTACAGTATTTAATACACAGTAGAGTAAGCCATCCTACTTCATTTTTTCCCCTTAACATTGTTTTGGCTGTAAGGTATGTGTGTGTGTGTGTGTGTGTGTGTGTATGTGGGTGTGTGTGCACGCATGGGTGTGCGTGTGCATGTGTGTTCGTGGGCTCTCTCTCTTTTATTGGTTCATATTTCTACCTTTGTGTCAATATTACATTGCCTGATACTGATACTGCCTAATGCTAACGCTTTGTAAGTTTAGATATTTTGTATAGTAAATTATCTTACTTTGCTCAGTTTTTTTTTTTTTTTTTAATTGGGATAATTAAATATCCTTTTCTTTCTCTCTTAAGTGTGATGAATTATGTTTGCTGGCTTTCAAAAGTTTGGATGTATTCTTGGAGTAAGTTTAACTTGGTTATGACATAATGGCTTTCTTATATAATGCTGGATTTACTTTTCCATTTATTAAGGAATTTTTACATACAGTTAATAAAGGATAGACCTTTCAATCTCTTTTTTAAATATTTTTTATTGGCCGGGCGCGGTGTCTCAAGCCTGTAATCTCAGCACTTTGGGGGGCCGAGACGGGCGGATCACGAGGTCAGGAGATCGAGACCATCCTGGCTAACACGGTGAAACCCCGTCTCTACTAAAAAATACAAAAAAACTAGCCGGGCGAGGTGGCGGGCGTCTGTAGTCCCAGCTACTTGGGAGGCTGAGGCAGGAGAATGGCGTAAACCCGGGAGGCGGAGCTTGCAGTGAGCTGAGATCCGGCCACTGCACTCCAGCCTGGGCAACACAGCGAGACTCTGTCTCAAAAAAAAAAAAACAAACAAACAATTTTATTATACTTTAAGTTCTAGAGTACATGTGCACAATGTGCAGGTTTGTTACATATGTATACATGTGCCATATTGGTGTGCTGCACCCATTAACTCATCATTTATATTAGGTATATCTCCCAATGCTATCCCTCTCCCCACCCCCCACCTCACGACAGGCCCCAATGTGTGATGTTCCCCTTCCTGTGTCCAAGTGTTCTTATTGTTCAATTCCCACCTATGAATGAGAACATGCGGTGTTTGTTTTTTTGTCCTTGTGATAGCTTGCTGAGAATGATGGTTTCCAGCTTCATCCATGTCCCTACAAAGGACATGAACTCATCATTTTTTATGGCTGCATAGTATTCCATGGTGTTTATGTGCCACATTTTCTTAATCCAGTCTATCATTGATGGACATTTGGGTTGGTTCCAAGTCTTTGCTATTGTGAATAGTGCCGCAATAAACATACATGTGCATGTGTCTTTGGAGCAGCATGATTTATAATCCTTTGGGTAACAGCATGGCTGGGTCAAATGGTATTTCTAGTTCTAGATCCTTTAGGAATCGCCACAATGTCTTCCACAATGGTTCAAATAGTATACAGTCCCACCAACAGTGTAAAAGTGTTCCTATTTCTCCACATCCTCTCCAGCACCTGTTGTTTCCTGACTTTTTAATGATCGCCATTCTAACTGGAGATGGTATCTCATTGTGGTTTTGATTTACATTTCTCTGATGTTCAGTGATGATGAGCATTTTTTCATGTGTCTATTGGCTGCATAAATGTCTTCTTTTGATAACTGTCTGCTCATATCATTTGCCCACTTGTTGATGGCGTTTTTTTTTTTTTTTTTTTTTTTTTTTTTTTCTTGTAAATTTGTTAGAGTTCTTTGTAGATTCTGGATATTAGCCCTTTGTCAGATAAATGGATTGCAAAATTTTTCTCCCATTCTGTAGGTTGCCTGTTCACTCTGATGGTAGTTTCTTTTGCTGTGCAGAAGTTCTTTAGTTTAATTAGATCTAATTTGTCAATTTTGACTTTGGTTGCCATTGCTTTTGGTGTTTTAGTCATGAAGTCTTTGCCCATGCCTATATCCTGAATGGTATTGTTTAGGTTTTCTTCTAGGGTTTCTATGGTTTTAGGTCTAACATTTAAGTCTTTAATACATCTTGAATTAATTTTTGTAAAACATGTAAGGAAGTGATCCAGTTTCAGCTTTCTGCATATGGCTAGCCAGGCTTCCCAGCACCATTTGTTAAATAGGGAATCCTTTCCCCATTTCTTGCTTTTGTCAGGTTTGACAAAGATCAGATAGTTGTAGATGTGTGGTATTATTTATGCAGGCTCTGTTCTGTACCATTGGTCTATATCTCTGTTTTGGTACCTGTACCATGCTGTTTTGGTTACTGTAGCCTTGTAGTATAGTTTGAAATCAGGTAGTGTGATGCCTCCAGCATTGTTCTTTTGGCTTAGGATTAACTTGGCAATGCGGGTTCTTGTTTTGGTTCCATAAGAACTTTAAAGTAGCTTTTTCCAATTATGTGAAGAAAGTCCCTGGTAGCTTGATGGGGATGGTACTGAATCTATAAATTACCTTGGGCAGTATGGCCATTTTCACTATATTGATTCTTCCTATCCATGAGCATGTAATGTTCTTCCATTTGTTTGTATCCTCTTTTATTTCCTTGAGCAGTGGTTTGTAGTTCTCCTTGAAGAGGTCATTCACATCCATTGTAAGTTGGATTCCTAGGTATTTTATTCTCTTTGAGTGAACTCATGATTGGGCTCTCTGCTTGTCTTTTATCAGTGTACAAGAATGCTTGTGATTTTTGCACATTCATTTTGTATCTTGAGACTTTGCTGAAGTTGTTTATCAGCTTAAGGAGATTTTGGGCTGAGACGATGGGGTTTTCTAAATATACAATCATGTCATCTGCAAACAGGAACAATTTGACTTCCTCTTTTCCTAACTGAATACTCTATTTCTTTATCTTGCCTGATTGCCCTGGCCAGCATTTCCAACACTATATTGCATAGGAATGGTGAGAGAGGGCATCCCTGTCTTGTTCCAGTTTTCAAAGGGAATGCTTCCAGTTTTTGCCCATTCAGTATGATATTGGCTGTGGGTTTGTCATAAATAGCTCTTATTATTTTGAGATGTGTACAATTAATACCTAATTTATTGAGAGTTTTTAGTATGAAGAGCTGTTGAATTTTGTCAAAGGCCTTTT